GTGCCTTGCGCTTGCCAAGCAGGTGCTCTACCACTTAAGGCACACCTCTAGCCCTGGACTGGAAGGACTGGCTGCTGTGGTGGATCTAGGCAGATTGGCAAGAGCCCACCAGCTGTGCAGTGGTTAAGATGGAGGCAGTGAATGGCCAGGCAGTTCCTTTAAGGAATGAGTGTCACCTGGGATATTCATAGTGACTGGGGACAGGCTCTACCCCCAATTAACCAAGTCACAACTGGCCATCTCTTTAACTCACCAGAGAGAAATGGAGCAGACACCATCTTACTATTAGTTGACCAGGACTAAAAAACTACACAGCGACCAAATAGTGCCAGGTGTGCCAGGCAATCCTCATTCCATCCTCAGAACTCTGCCAGATGGGAAACTGAGGCACAGTGGCTGAAGCCGAGTGTGGTAAGCACTGCAGGGTATATAACCTTTTTATATACTGTCAGGAAACGCTGTGTACATGCTTTTTTCAAGGTACAGCCAATTTAACTCTTAACTGCAGTCACGGGTTGGAGGGGGGAAGACGGGGGGCGGGAGGGGGGAGCGGGGGTTGAGAGGGGACCTGCCCCACGTAAGACGAATGTGATAGCTTCCATGCTCCAGAACAAGGCTCCATTCCTTTTCTACCGGTTCCATCAGCTCTGACCCTCGTCCCTCATAGTTGTGAGGGGTTGCAGAGGCTCCAGGTGCACCTGCCTAAGGTGACATGCAGGCACAGCACACTGCTCAGGAAGAACTCACCTGTACCTTTCTGTACAATACCTGCAAGTATTTGTCACTTCAAAACAAACAGAAGACAGGCATTGTGGAGCACACCTGTGATCCCAGCACTCATGAGGCTGAGGAAGGAGGATTTCAAGTTTGAGGACAGCCTGAGACTATCTAGCCAGACCCCATCTCAAGGAAAAAAACAATGTAAACAGAGGCAACCAGATGGTAGGACTCAGGACCAAACCAACTTGTTTTATTGTTTTACCTTAAAAAAAAAAAAAAACCTGTTGTTCTGCAGACCTTTGGTCCCTGTGTTTGTAGGTGGGGATTCCAGGAATCTGTTTTAATCCAACCCCAAGGTGACACTGCCTTGCCAAGCAGGGTCATTCCTGGTAAACCATGACTCACCACACCTTGGGGCCTTATGGGTGCCAACTTCCTCCTGCCAAACCCAGTAAGACACCCTGGGCCAGAGGAACGCGCTGACCATGCTCCGACTTCTGCAAAGCCTGGGGCCTGAGAGCCAGTAGGCAGCTGAGTCCTGTGACAGCACCAGCTGCCCTCAGCCTCAGGGATAGCCCCGAGGAGCCCAATGTCACTGGCCACTGTCACCCCTGGATGGTGGTTCTCCACTAGTAGAGTTTGGAAGACCTCAGTGCCTAGGCCCCACCCCAACCAAGGATGTCTCTAATAGGTGGCCATGTTGAAATCATTGTTAGAGGGAAAGGAGCAGGGAGACGTGGCTGGGGGCTGACACAGAGTCAGGAGAGTCCGCAGCCTGAGAAGGTAACTTCATTCAGCCAGACAAGGATAACAACATCTGACAGCTAACCTCCCTGAACAGGCACTAAGAGAGGGCTGCGATTCTCACCCACCTCACCAACCCCAAATCCCTGTTCTTCAACACACCCTTGTTCTTAATCAACTGAAGGCCCAGCAGGAAAAGGGAACCTTGCAAAAACCTAGAACATTTTCAAACCTTTCTTAATCTACTCACTCATTCAAGAACTATCCAGGACTGGCGGAGTGGCTCAAAAAAGCCATTTGAGCCGCTCCGCCTGCCTCATAAGCATGAGGCCCCAAGTTCAAACCCCAGTGCCGCCCCATCTCCCCAAAAATGAAAAAGAAACACCTGTACCTACCCTCTATGCCAGCTGCTGCTGTGGAGAGCCCAGGGTTTCAAGCTGGTTTGTGCAACTGATGTGGTCACATGAAACTCATGTAGTAAAATACCAAGAGACTATAAAGTGGAGAGCATCATCCACAGGAAGGACTGCTTTCTGAGCTGTTGACACAGCATGCAGGTGTATATATATATATTCTCAACAGATCGTGATGGGAGAGGGATTTTTACTGTAGATCATGGTCCAGAATCTGAGAGACTAAGGTGGGCAAGAGGAAGCAAGCCTCCACTGGCCCAAAGTAACTGTGTAAATACACAGTTAACTTCAGAGGCCCTAAAAGCAGCAAATCAAAACCTCTTGGTAGTCACAAAATTCTAGATGATCTTGAAATTGACAAGGCCATTGTGACTGAGACCCACCACAGGGAGAAGAGATTGGGAAAGTGTGAACCTCCTTCTTGTGAAGTAGTGACAGCTTGACGGGGATCCCTTCTCTCCAGGATTCCAGCCCTGGCACCCACATCCCTGGGATCAGACAGCAACGGTCCCAATCTTCCCTCAAAGATGTTACTCTAGCATCCCTGGGTGGGTTTCTCTGCATCAGAAGACCACAGCACATACTGAGGCCACTGGATCCCAGATGCTGAAAGCAACCCAAGTACCCCCATCCTTCCAGGCTCAGGCTGCACAACACCAGCCAGACTGACAGAACCCTCCTTGCTGCTGACACTGGATGCAGCAGCCCAGCACTTGTGAAGCCCTCAAGGCAGCTTATTCCACGAATGAGTGGAGCTTGGTACCTTTCCCATGCCCACCAGACCCGAAGCCCTGAACACCTGCGGTTGTGCGGTTGGGACCGGGCTAAATGCCAGAGTTACAAAGTGAGCATATTGCCCGACACGCCCGTCTTGGGTTGGAGGCAGGTTAAGTACTAGTCGTGAGGCGGCCTGTCCTTGCCCACCTGTGGCATCTCCTTGAGGCATTCAACTTCAACCTGATGAAAATAAAGCCTCACTGTGTGTGGACAAGGCCTTGCCCTGAAAATAGCCGCTTCCCTCACACAGCAGCTTCCTGTTTGCTGCTGCCTGTTACCCTGTCAAACTGCCCCCAAGACAGGGAGAAAGAGATTTTCAAAACCAAAGCTCCCTGTTCATCTTTCCACAATGACTTCTGTTACCAACATGCTTTACTGAACACTAACTCCTACATACCCACCAGCCAACCAGCGTATCTGATGGCTGCATACAGGAAAGACCAAGTTATTTGGAAGACTACTCTCCAACATTTTTACTCTTAGGGAAAGGGAAGAGCGAGTCAAAAGGGCCCTTGAATGTCTGACATTTCAACTTTCTTCACAAAAATGCATGTTAATTCTTCAATGGCACACTAAAATCAATAGCACATTGGAACCAACTACCTACCAGTCACATTCTAGAATGCTCAGGGCTCACTGCACTGATAGGCGACATAACATACCCAGCCTTCAAGGAATTCCACATGCTAAGGGGGTTCACAGTTCACATCTTTGCCCATCATTCCTGTTTCACAGGTGATGAAACTGAGCACAGAGAGACAAACTTAACCAGACACACACAGCTAGTGGTGGGCTAACACCCAAATTCACGTAACAAGAAGCTTCCTTCAGATGAGAGGGCAAAAAGCAAACTGAAATCACAAGGTTACTTCTGCCTGCAGGAAGTACAGATACAAACACTGACTAAGATGTAGGGTGACAGACACACTTATGACCATAGCAGTGAAGTATTAACTGGTACTTTGCAGAAGATATTCTGGCAGGACCTGTATTTTAAATATGGATTCTTTTGAATCAGACATTTCACCTGTAGAAATTTATCCCACAGAAACTCAACACAGAACAGTCACTGCTGTACCACTACTGAAAAGCTGGGACCTACACAAAAATCCATAAATGCAAAGGAACATTCGGTGAGAAAATCTCACCAGGGCTGATTTTTGAGTTTTAAACCTTTCTCAAAGAACTAAGTCAAGGCTAGACATTACGGAGGTACATGCCCATAATCCCAGCACTGCGGAGGCTGAAGCAGGAAGATCTTGAGTTCAAGGCCAACCTCAGCAAAAAGTTAACTAGATACCATTCTCAACAAACAAGTCAGGCAAGGTGGTACATGCCTGTAATTCCAGCTATGTAGGAAGCATAAGTAAGAGGAACATGGTCCAAGGCCAGCCCTGGGCAAAAACAGGAAACCCTATCTGAAAAATAACTAAAGCAAAAAAGGGTTGGGGTTTTGGCTCAAGTGGTAGAGCACCTGCCTAGCAAGCATAGGCCCTGAGTTCAAACCCCAGCACCACGAAAAACACCAAGTCAAGTAACACAAATAAAACAAGGGTCATGAGAAACTTCCCAGTTTTACTACTGAACTCAGAGCAAGCAGGTCCCATCATAGGAGGTAAAACCTGGTATCTTACCACACACAGTGTACCAGGACCACATGGTATGACACAGGCCTGGGGGCCAGTCCTGCCCCTCTCTCAAATCACATCCCAGAGTGAAACATCACACACCTCGGCTGCTCCTGTGTGGGGTCTGGAAGCTACACAGGGTGAGGTCGTCTGAACCATCAAAATTGGTGCAGCTTTCAAGCGGAAAGAGAGGTGGGGAAGAAGCAGGAACTCTACTCACTTGCCAGAACCTGCTTTAACTAAACAGATGAGTCTTGTTTCCTTTAACTATAAACAAGAGCTTCCCATGGCAGAACCTTCAAGTTGCTTCATTCTAAGCAGAGACACCTCGTGAAACAAGCTAATGACGTACCAGGTGACAACTATGAAAGAAAACCCAGTGAGAGTGATCTGATGCTGCTATCAGTCCTCTCAAAATGTGCAAGCAGCAGTCATGCCAAAAACTCAGTGCCTCTGGGTCACAGCAAGTTTTTAAAACTGTGTTGCCTTGCCCCCACTAAAGGCCCCATTTCAAAATCACACCCTGGCATCCAACCCTTGATTGCCATTTCCTCTCACTATAAAGAAATCCAATCCATACCGACACCGGTGGCTCATGTCTGTAATTCTACCTACTTAGGAGGCTAAGATGGGAGGATCCTGGTTCAAGGCCAGCTCCTGGCAAGTAGTTCAAGAGACTCCCATCTCCAAAATAACCAGAACACAGTAAGATGTGACTCAAGTGGTAGAGTGCCTGCTTTGCAAGCCAGAAGCCCTAAATTCAAATCCCAACCTCCCCCCTAAAAAAAAGCCAGCCCTGCTTTCATTGTTTCATTGCTGTTGCAGAGAGGAAACCTTCACACCCAAAGCCATAATTACTCAAGTTTTTCGAAATCTAAACATCATTTTAATTACATCAAAAAATTACCCAGATATATTGTCTGAAACTGCAGACAGGCCCGGTCATCACTTAACTTTTCCCACTGATTCATTCCTCTTATGACTTAAGGTGTGCATCACTGTTCCAGTCAGGTAAACCACACTTAAGAGTTTGACTGCAAGCCTTTAGATTTACCAAATGCTTCCCATTGCTTTTGCTCTATAAAATACTCAACACTGGAATAAAGTTCCTTTGTTCAGCTATGCTCAGAACACTGCAATGTAGAGAAGAACTTGACCTGCTCAGGCCAAGTAGGACAGGAGAGAGCTAAGAAGATGCTCTGTCTAAAAGAACCAGACTCTGGCTCATGACAGGACAGGTCTGGTTCCCCCAAACTAAGCTGGTAAGCTTTCAAATGCAGCCCCCCTAGTCTGTTCCCCAAAAACTGAAAAGGCCAGTAATCCCAACATACAGGAAGTTCCAGCAAATTTGAGGCCAGCATGGGCTACATAGCAAGACCTTGTCTCCATTAATTAAACAACAACAAAAAAACAGAGGCTAAAAAGGCAAATGTTATCTTTAAAAAGGACCAGGTAAGTATGAAGTATGTAATCTTCCATGATTTGCTTTGCATCTAAACTGGCACACAGAAAGTCTTCCAAAAGATTTTGAACTAAGCTGTCAAAATTAATCTTCCTGAGATTATAAATCATTTCTCTTTGTACTAGTGGGCCTCAGGGTTGTTCTGTCCTCGGGCACATGAGCAATGGGGTCAGAGAAGGGACAGGGGCGACAATTAGGTGACAAAGAAGCACTTGAGATTAATGCAATGGAAAAAAAGTAACAAATGCTAAAGTTTTTAAAAAGTTTAATGGAGCCAATAAGGCATATAAATTGTGTTCTGGCAGACATTAAGACCTGCTTTCTCTTACCAAAGAAAATGGCACATGTTTTTATCAAAATTTGACAATTGAGAGTAAAGGGTACTAAGATTAATCTTCAGAGCACCAACTTAAACAAAACAACCTAAAATATTGTATTCAACTTGGAAAGAGGAAATAGAACCAAGGCATGGCGGGGGGCGGGGGGGGGGGGAGGGGGATTAAATATGTGTTCCTCGATCTCGAAATCCTTTGGGAATGGGAGTTCTGGCCTCTCATGAGCATCACACTGCCAAACCCCGATTCCAGAATCTAAATTTACAATGTCAGAAAAGCAAAGATAATTCCAAATGCATTTCTTGGTATATTCCAAAGGGAAGCTTGAAAGGATTCATAATACATAGGCTTGTCTGTTTCAGATAAAATGACAAATTGCTATAATTTTTCCTGCTATTATAGTCAAACAAAAAATGATCCACTTTTTGTGAAAATTTAGAAATACCTCACTGTCATTCCTAGTTTGAGTATGAATTCCATAGATTTAAATAAGGGCTATATCTATGATGAACACAGAACTCCAATTCACACGACATTTCTAACATTCCATTCACATCCCACCCAGTCCATAATGGGTAACTTAGCAAAGTTTCTTCACAGAAAGGTATTCAATGGCTGAAGGAACAGCAAACTTTAACAAAGTGCTGTGAGTGATTACTGGAAAACCCTTACACTGATCTGCAATGGTCATTGAAAGATAAAAATAGGAAGTAACTGATACTGGACTACAAGTTTGCAAGGAAACATTTTTCACTGTCCTACTTGATATATAATAATAGGATAGAATAAATTACAGTACCTGGCAGGCTGACATCAGTTCTTCATCTAAAAAAAGACTATCATTCAGTTCAAGATATTAAAAACGAAGGTGAAACATGCTCTAAAACGTTGTAGCTACAAGAGGTCTTATATTTACCCAAAGAAGACTCTATTGAGAACTTTTATTTTGGTCTACCTAACATCTAGAGAACCTCCATGCGACTTTATCTTTTCCAGAATGAGATTCCAAACTGCAGTCCTGAGGAGAGGGAATGGAGGGACAGGGGAAGAGTTGGGTTTTGCTATTTAAGTAAGTTGTGATCACATCAGTAGTAGGCAAAACAGAGCTCTATCATCTTCTACCCACTGCAAGGAAAACACAGTAGGACATCATGAAAAATGCAACACAGGGTATGAAAGACTAGAATAAATACCTACCCCAACCATCTCCCTCAGGCTAACACTGAACCAAAAAGGAAGCCCACTCTCAAAGGTCATGCCCTCTCTTTCTGGTCACCTTGATGCAGTCTGCATGTTTCCATTTGTCATAAGGAAAAGTATCCCGCATAGAAGTAGTACTTGTCTTAAACTGAGTATTTGAAGCCTACAGGGTTAATCTGGGGGCAGTTTAATAATATTGCTATTTTTAGAGCACTAACACACACAAAGTGAATCCAATAAAGTTCTGTGTATTGATTCAATATTAAGTATTAATTGCATGACCATCATAGCACCTCTTTACATCACACAATCACCAGAATTAGAAAACTGCTTTGAAAACTAAAAACAGGACATAGTCCAATAATTAGAAGTTGCACTGTTACTATATAGAAACCAGGTGCGTAGAACAGTGCGGCTGCAAAAATAGAAGCCTGCAGATTTGACAAGGAAGCCAAATCATGTTTTTAGACAATTTTAGGAACCTGGCAATACTGTTGAAGCAAAATATTCAACACAGCAAGAAATGGACCAAACAAAGAAAAAAGAAGAAGAAAAAAAGCAGTCTATAACCAAATAAACATCTGATATTTCCTTTCCCTTTGAGAATAAATACAGTTAAGGTCACTTTTAGCCTTGGAACGGATATATGTTCGCCTATGATGATCTTGCTAATGACTACACAATTATCTGATGTCCTCTGCTAGGAGTATAGTTTTGAGAAAGCCATAGTTACAAGAGGCATCTACTGTAAATACCTAGAACTTCCTTTCATGGCAACCACTATAGAATTCACTTGTCTTAAACAGTGAACAAGGGAAGATGGCCTCATGTTTCCTTTGCAATAATAGTATATGTTGAGGATCAAGTGGCTTTCAAGCAGCATGGTGGGTGTGAAAATGTCTGCAGTTTAGATCATTCTGTTGCGTTTATGGGTTGGTGAGTCTGTAATAACATCGCCACACTGGGCTGAGGTACGCTTTCTAGTTCCACCATTGTCCAAGTGGAGTGCCATTTCTTCTGATATGAAAGTGTTCAAATCGACATCATGGAGTCCATTTCTCCTTCGACTAGCATTCGATCCACTGCTTACATGTGTAGGAGAGCCTGGGGTACTCGAACGCACGCTTATACTAGCCATTGCACCACTAAGACCTAGGAAGAAGAAAAGAGGTTTTAGAGTTGCTCGATTATTCAACCCTTTTGAAAGCAACCCACTTTACTTTTCATGTTGTCACAGTGTCAGGATGTCTGCCGGGCTTCTTTGCAAGGGGTCACCAGTGAGCAGTTAAGTTTTATTCTGGAAGAACTGGTCATCTGGCTTTGACCTATGCTTTATTGGTAACACTAGCAAGGCTGGGACTAGCAATTATGGAAAGCTTACTCTGCATCAAGCACAGGGAGTATACAGTTTACAGATGTGGCCAGGAGGTGCTTGCTTTATCTAAAGTCACCATTCCAGTAGCTAACCTCAGAAGCATGTCTGTGTGTGTGGTGCACACGTGCGCTTGCTCTAACAATCCCTCCTCTAGATAAGGTGACCATATGATGTATCACCCAAAACAGTACATTGTCAAGCCTGAAAGAGTCACTGATAAAAGTTATACTGGGCCACTGAGTACAAGGTGCGTGTGCCCTGGACAAATGGAGCTATATCACAACTGCAGGTCTCAACGGTATCTGCAAGACATGCTTAGGTAGCCTAAGTCACTGTCTGATCCTTTAGAGAAGAGGAAGGCAGGGGTGGGGGAACAAATCCTTTTGCTCTGCTTTCAGGTTGTTAAATACAGAATTTCCCCAGCACTTATCATTGAACACTTACTCCTTATAATTTTGAGCAGTTAAGGAGCTAACTTACATTCCACCCCTAAGTGCTCAGGATAAATCTCTGAAAGACCTGAGTCAGGTCAGGACCACAGCATTCAATTTTAAAAGCCTAATGCTGACAGCAGGCTTTCTGCCCTATGAGTTTCCTGCTGTGCCAGTAAAGCCTCGCCTAGGGATTTTGCTATTGCCTGACTAAATTTCTAATGTGATCCCATATAATCCATGTTTCCAAAGAACAAGACTTCTGCCTTACATTTTAAAACAAGCTTAGAGGTTTGATTGGGTAGGGGTCCATCCATTCTAATTTCGTATTCTGTAAATGTGGTTGAAATTTGAAAATCAAGTTCACAAAGTAATGATTCTTTGCCTCCTACCACATCAAATTTATTAAACTCCCCTTAACATAGTTCTCACTCTACAAATACTGTGGACAATGGAGCCCACCCACAGCCCCAAGCAACTCCCACCGCTGTCAGTGTTCTGTAGCCCACACCTTCCTGCTAAACCAATCAGACCCTTCTTCTCTAGGCACCTCCCACTCTTTCTGCACTTTTCCAACCAGTTCCCTTACTGCTCTTCCCCTACAAGAGGAAATCTAATTGTCCCTCTCTGTTTAACCCCTCAAACTTTTAAAGACCAGAACCTGCTTTTTAAAAAATTACAAAAATAGGATGAAGGCACTAATGCTGGGTCAAGCACCATACTAAATGATTTACTTTTTAATACATATTACTCCATCTGCAGATGAAAAACCAAGTTTAAATAGTTATTTACCCAAGGGCAATAGGTAGCATGTAGGAGCTGAGGCTCACATTCAAGTGGACTCTATACTCCTACTATGAGACCACCTCCCCCTGCAACCTATCCAGTGAAGCATACACTGACAGGAGGTGTTCAAATCTTGATGATTGGTAGTTCTTTTGGAAATCAATCCTGTGCTTCTAACACCTACTCTGCTACCTGGGCCCACAGACTCCTCTGTCATCTATCTGCCCTGAGGTGGTTCCTGGTTCTCCTAACCTCTCCTTTTTCGGCCTCCTTTTGTTGGCTCTTCTTCCCTCCTGATTGAAATGCTCCACTCCTTCCTCTTTCTCCAGTCTCCCAGTTGCTTCCTCAGCAGCCTGTGGGCTTCTCTTCTGTCCAACCAGCAAGATGTCACCCAGGGTGAGCTCCAACACCCCTCAGCTTGCCTGTGGGCACCAGAGTTTTCCTAATCTGGACCACAGGAGCAACCCCTTTTCCTGTGTTCAAAGGCCCATTTGCCTACTGGAAAGCTCAGACTTATCATCTCCAAAGAGGAACTGCACTTCCTCATCCCCAACCCACAGGCTTACTAACTTTAAAAAAAAAAAAAAAACAACTCTTCCTATGAACAGTCTTTTCATCTTGAGCTAATGGGCTGACACATCACACTCACTGAATTCTGAAAAAAGAATAATGCTTCAAAGTCCAACTGAAACACAGGCCCAGCTGCTGGTTTCAGGAAACAAACCCAGTCTGCTGGTTGCTCACTGAAACTAGTAACAATCAATAAAATGCCATGGTAAGAACCCAACTATCCCCAAGCTGTTGGCATTTTTTTAAGTTCTTCAGACAGACCTGTGCACACCTTTTTCCCGATCCCACAGACATAACATGCTACTAGAGGGTGCCCAGTACAACAATAACCTTTTCATACTTGCTTCTTAATGCAAAAGAGGTTCTGCGAAACGTGGGAATCTGGCAATAAATTGGATATTTAGTAATTAAATTCCAATCCCCATTATCATTTGAAATCACAAACAGAATTCAACAAAGCCCAACCTATGCCCTTCTTGTTAATGGAGGGTCAGCATCCCTAGGATCACATGGCAGTTATGACAAATACCATAAAGTGAACTCGTCAACTTCTCCATGAAAAAGAAGGTACACTAAACATCAACTTGGCCAATTTAAAAATCCCCCAGTAACTTCTGGAAAGTCATTTTTCTCTGTTGGTGTTATGACTTGGGGTTTAATTCAATAGCTCAAGTAAAGTAACAATGTGCAACACACTATCTACTCTCAGCAGTGAAAATCTTTTTTCAAAGTTTGACTCACTATTCTTCCCCAAAAAGCTCTTCACAAGTGTCAAATAAAATTAAGATTAACAACCAAAATATATGCATTTTAAACAGCCCAAATTTTATTTTATAAACCAATGGCAGCTGCTGGAAGCTGCTTTAGGAAACCTTAGCTAAGCCACATGAACAAATCAGGCCTATACAAGTACAGAAAATCTACACATCTCAACATGCTTCAATACTAAAAAAAAAAAAAAAAAAAACTAAGTTGTACGTCCTGAGGGCATACAACTTAATTTCTACCAAAAACACACACGTTTTCAAGAGGGCTATGGGAATATCAATTGACAAAAGCAGCAAAACAAACAGCATGATTAGACAGAAAAGTCTCAATTGCTTAATACAAGATAAATAAACTCATCAGTTATAAAGTGTCTGCATCCATTTAAAATGATTACTTGCAAGGAGTAGGAAAAAAATTAGGATGATTTAATCATACTTTGAGAACTTGCAATGAAGCTAAAACAAATTGTACAGTCCAGGTCATAGGAGTCCAAGTTACATGGCAAATTATTAAAGGTGGCACACAGCTATCATTGTTATACCATGTCCATGCTTGAGTAATAAGAAAATGCTGTTTCCAGAATCAGTTACATTTCGTTCATTTCCCGGCACACAGCTGGGTCACACACAGGCAGAAAAAGAGCAAATGCCCACCCAAGTCCACCTCACCACCTCAGTCCAGCAGCCAGGGACCTAAGGAGGCATCCGTCTATATTCTACTGGCCTCCCAGTACCTGAGACTCCTGCCAAGACAGCCACTTCTGGAGGTGAAAAGGCACTGTGGACCCACCGGCATAGGTCCAGGGCCCTCTGCAGACTGCTCCACCCATGTCATCAACAGGAGAAGGCGGTGCGGAGGGGCAGGAGGGTCTGAAATCCCCAAAACTGAACGAAGTGGGTAACATCCCACCTGGGAGACCTAAACTGGATTTTCCTCCTTGGAAATGAATGTACTACTCCATGTGCACAAAGCTCTGTTGAGGTGCAAGTACTGTAGTGTCAATGTAGAGTTTCAGATGTCAGGGGAGTTCAGTAATTTAAAAAAGAATTCTAATAAGATTGTGGTAATTGGAAGTAGATACCACTCCCCACCCCAATCTGTAAATTGTAATACTGAATTTTTATTGAAGCAAAGCATACTAAATCAAATCAATTACAAAGATACATGTGTCACACCAAGAAAACATTTTCAGTTATGCTGACAGCCCAAGATGCTTTCCATTTTTCAAAGACAATTTTTAATGCCATGGAAAAAATGCTCACGACGTTTAAAAAGAAGAAGGCAAAATACAGTACCATATATGCAGTATGATCTCAACTGTGAAATAATTTTAATACTTATACATTGAAAAAAAAAGACTAAAATGCACCAAACATTTAACTGCATTTATCTCTACATAGTGGGATCACAAACTGAATGTTTTACTTTTTGGAAATCTTTAAATTTTCCAAGAAATTAATACTTTCAGTAAGAAAATGTGTGAGAAAACTAAGCTCAGATACTGAAGTGTTTCGTAACAGTCAGTAGATCATTAAATAGGTGTAGGTGCATAAACTAGCTTTGATACATGGCCTTCTTTTTCACTGCGATGGGAAAAATGTCCAACCAAATTTTTATTACAGGTTCAAGACAATTCTGTATCAATGATGTTGGAAGCTGAAAGTCCTATCCCCAGAAACTTAAGTATTTAACATCTAACCATAATATATGGAAAATGCCAACTTCTCAGTACAAATTTTAATGCTATCTGAACTGCCTTGATTTGGTCTCATTCTCAGAGACTGGTCTGAAGAAAAGGCATAATTTAGAAGTTCCGGCCTTCAGAGGGAATTTAAATTCACTGCGGTATTATAAGCAACTGTGAGCAATTAAGAGATTGCTTTGGTACATTAATATCTCACATCTTCATTTCCAAATAAACTTTCAGACACACATTATTGTTAAGTAGCTATCAACTGTTCTGTTACTTCAAAAAGATGCAGACTGCAACATTCAACAAGCTTACTAAGATTCCACTATGTTCCACTCTGCCAGGAATGTGGGTTTCCTCAGGAGAAAAGGACTCTGAAAGGGGGTTATAAAATAAACTCTCACAGGCCAGTTCTAATTAGTCCTCTGCCACAGAAAAGTACACAGAGTTTCTTCTATACATCCTATCAACTTGAGAATCCTTACCTGTGCTATCTGTCAAAACAGATTTTTAAACATTTAACTACATCAAT